CTCCGGCCACCGTCCTCCGTCCACCGTCCTCCGGCCTCCGTCCACCGTCCTCCGGTGATACCATTGTGATACCTAAAAATATTGGCTCTAGTAAACAAAAGATACAGTGTGATACCCACACATATATAAGATGCATTGTGATACCACTGTGTTGCATCTCCGATGGACCACACAAACGACCTCAATGTGATACCCAAGCACATATATGATGCATTGTGATACCATTGTGGTATCACCGGAGGACGGTGGCCGAAGAGAGAAGAGAGGAGAGTTTTAAAATACCAAAAATGTCCTTGCATTAAAATTTTAATTCAAAATTACCAAAATTATAAATTTCCTAATTTATCTATTAATTTGTGGTTAAGATTGGATTTCACGGTTATCACAAACTAATTAGTTCTCATTTGATTAGGCCCCTATATATATATATATATATATATATATATATATAGTTGATGATCTTTCATGGCGAAAACAAAGAAAATGGCTAAGAGTAGAGATAAGGATAGGACGTATGATGGGTAACAACTAAGCGATTGATAAACACTAACTATATTTTTGGTAAAGGTTAAGGTACCAGATTGGAAACATCAAACATGTAGTTCAAATCACTAATAGTAACGTTGGTTAAAGTAAGTATGAACTCCATGAAATGAAAAACTAAGGAACACCGTGGTAACTGTTCATCTAAACGATATACACATGTGCATACAAGTAATTGAAGCTGTTTCTTGGTTTCTGTGTGCATATCGGACAAATTATCTGTATGCACGTGTCCATACTGTACAAATGAATGGTTACCGTGGTGTTCCTCAGTTTTTCATTTTTTTGCGGTTTTCCTTTGAACTTGACCCTACATATATATATAGTTGATGATCTTTCATGGCAAAAACAAAGAAAATGGCTAAGAGTAGAGATAAGGATAGGAAATATAATGGGTAACGACTAAACGATTGATAAACACTAACTACACTTTTTGTAAATGTTAAGGTACCAGATTGGGAACATCAGACCTGTTGTTCAAATCACTAATAGTAATGTGCGAGTGAAAAACTATAAAAGCAACAACGAAAATGATCATGGAGTTCATAGTTACTTTAACTAACGTTCTTGCATTTCTCAATTCAGATTTGGGATGCCGCTCGTTGCAAGAGAGTAAGAACTATGGAAGGACATAGATTACGTGTTGGCGCACTAGCTTGGAATTCATCTATATTGTCTTCAGGAAGTCGAGATAAAAGTATTCTTCAGCGAGATCCTCGTGCACAAGAAGATTTTGTTAGTAAGCTAAGTGGGCATAAATCAGAGGTAAGATATTTCTAAACTCGAATTTATATGTTATCAGTTAATATATATCAATCTATACACTATCTATAGGTCTTTCATATCTCAAATATTCACATGTGAATTGTAGGTCTGCGGACTTAAATGGTCCTACGATAATCGTGAATTAGCATCAGGTGGAAATGATAACAAGGTACGTAATTAGTTTACATACCGAAACCAAACAAACTCAGTATATTCCACTTGTCTATGTTATTCTTGTTCTAGCTTGATAATGTGCTTTCCCCTGTTGTAACTTTTTTCCCTTTTTCTGTCTCTATGTAGCTTTTTGTTTGGAACCAACATTCGACACAACCTATCCTGAAATATTGTGAGCATACAGCTGCCGTGAAAGCAATTGCGTGGTCCCCACATCTCCACGGACTCCTGGCTTCTGGCGGAGGTACTGCAGACCGATGTATCCGTTTTTGGAACACAACCACCAATTCTCACCTGAGCTGCATGGATACTGGTAGCCAGGTAACATCCTTAAAAATTGCTAACTTTCCCTTTTTGGGATTTCTCGTGAAGATTGCTAATTTGCTAAAACTAGAAGTCTCAAATCTTGTCACCGATATAACAACCTGTCCATCCATGAAAATTGTAAACTTTCCCTTTCGGGATTTCTCATGAAGATTGCTACTTAAATTGCGCATCAAGTCTTTAACTTTGTAATTTCCGACAGGGGTAGTAACTTGTTTCATAAACGATAAGTATTGGAAGAAGTTACGAACAATCAGTGATTTTGATGTTGGTCTCAAGATATGTGTTTTGTCATTATTGAAGGGCAGTTTAGGCATTTAAAAAACAGATTACTAACTCCTCGTGCTGTACCATGGCAGGTATGCAATCTTGTATGGTCAAAGAATGTCAATGAACTTGTGAGCACCCATGGATACTCCCAAAATCAGATTATTGTTTGGAGATACCCTACCATGTCAAAGGTAACGTTTTCTATAATGGGTTATGATCATTCGTTCTGCAATGTCAGAAAACGATTACAGTTGACCAATTTGACAAATATTTGTTCCAAATTTGACCAATAAGTTGGTGCCAGATGGCTCATGTGTATTGACCGACTCATAAAGATCTCAGAACAGTTTTATAGAATCTTTAATTGGAGAACAAAGATAAATATGTTTGTCAAATTGGTCAACGTTATGTCTTCACGTAAAAAGCCGTTTTACTCTTTGGGATAGAGGATAGGTCTGGGCTATACATGCCTTCTCCCATACCCTACTTTCGAGTGGACATACCGAGGTTAAACCAAACCAACGTATATCCTTCCCGGGGGCGG